CAGTCTCCGCACCTAGATTTTGGCATCGAGAATGAACCTGTCGCAAAATAGTTATACTTTGAGAAATACCAGACTAGACATAAAACCCGACATTAATGATTCAGTCACGTTAGACAGCACCGGATATTTTGTCAGATTTTTTTTATGGCACTGGAAGAACAGCCAGGAGCGTTGCAATCCCAATTTACCATTGTGATTATTGCGTCCTCGAAAGTAAGCGAAGAAATTCACTTTGCGTGCGTCGGCAATTAAACACCAAAGCTGTGGTTATTTTAACCCCACTCAGAGCCGTTGACAGTGGTTGTCATACGGATACTTTGATAGCCCTCTAGCGGCTTTCTTAGCGAAAACCGGGAACTTGAAAATTAGGAATTAAATCGCATGATGGCGCTGTCTCCGCCACATGCTCTCACCAACCACAGTCATTTTACCTATATCTGCAGAATAAATCAAGAAAACTACACAAAATGCCTCCATTTGTGCCGTGCGTTCGGGCCAATCGTTAATTAGTAAGTTTATTAAGATAGTAATTTATTGTATAATCCTAATGCTTTGACATTTTTGAGGAGACAATAATTTTTCCAGGGCAAACCTTGTATATTTATTCGAATTACCCGATCATTTCATTTAGAATTAGACTGTAAAAACGTATTATTAAACTGATTAATATATCGGGATGACTTGAACATATCTTTGTTAACTGACAGGGACTTGTAGTTTGAACTTAATCGAATATTCAACTGTCGTATGCAAATCAGTTCTGTGCAGTGGTGATAATTAACGCGCATCGAACTGTTCGGAGTTCGGAGGTTTGATTTCGCCGCGTAAACAATCTACAGCTCATCAGGAGTGCGTTCGCGTCGTCGCCTCGGGGTGCCATGGAGGGCCTCTAGCTTGCCCAGTTTTCGTTTGACTGCTATGTGTCGTCACAACTGGGGCGACTCGGCGCAGTTTTTACCTCCCCGCTCGCTGTATCGGGGAAGTTTGTGAAATAGATAGCGAACGACAAAATCGTTAGAAAAAAGTGTTTAGGTAATTTCCTCAAACATAAAATGTAACTGGGTGTGTTTTTGAAATAAATCTTATACTTTTTACACGAATTTCGCTTTCATAGCAACGGACCAATACAATCATGTGACACTACTTTACGGATTACGTTCGTATAAACTACATACTTCCTTGAGGAACTCTTTCATTGCCACGGGTCACTACTGCCACGTCACTTTCGGCACCCTAATGTAACGACGTGAATCATGCACTCCAGAACGCTGCGAACCGGAGAAAACAGGGAGTTAAAAATCAACGCCCATTCTCGCAGGAAACCGACTGATGACGCTATAACTTGAAACTTGTCTATTACTTATCGGGAAAATCAGTGGCTGATTTGTCACTTGAAAAAGAGACAACAATGTTCATATAAAATGACAGAAAATAAATTGCTAACAATCGCAGGGTAGACAGTTTCACATCTATATATTAAACGTCGATAATCGCGTTTCTCACTTGTGTTTTTCGTCACTGATTCCAAAATATGGTGAAGATATGGAGGTTTATATTCTATCCTAGATGAAATTAAATTCAGCGAATATACTTTCTTCTCCTAAATTTGACATTCAGCTCACGATCAAAAGTTAGTGAAAATAAACTCCATAAAATTCACACAAAAAGTCTTTTCAGTGAAAATTAAGTCCAACTAAAATAAAGTATTTTAATTTAGTTGAAGGCGATAATTAGTTGGCTATGTATATCAAAATGTCTTTCCAGTATAATCACCCAAATTTTTCGTTTTTTCAAATTGGAAATGTACATGAAGGCTGCGTGGTGACGGCTCATAGAGCGATTCACGCCATCGTCTAAATACTAAAAAAACATACATATTTTAACCTAACAATTATTTAGTCTCATATACAGACTTACTAGAACATGCCTAGACCATCTATGCAAGGGTTTATATTATTGACAACGCTTCGAGTATGAAATCGTTCGCCCTCCACGTTGAGTATGTTGAAAATTGTCCTCCTTCGTTTATTCGTACACGAGTTTCACGCTATTGAATTGTCGATACAAACTAAAATAACACCAAATCACACTACAGTTTGCGTTCTAATGGCAATTTGACTTGTAGTTTTTGTTTCTTAAAGAATGACTGAGCAGAAAAGTCGTCAATAACCTTATCGACTTATGTACTGTTTACAGACAAACGCTAATCTCGGTTTGACCATCTTTCATAGTTTGTTCGACCTTCCATGAGAGCCATTTCTGTGACGTCACACTGACCATTAATAACGTGTATCTGCTTTTCACCACGTGTTGGAAATCCAACACATCATATTATAATGAGAATATGGTTTGTTGACGTAATCGTCCAAAAGCGCTGGAAAATACTCCAATAAAGCACTAATCAGCTCAAAACAGCAGCCCTATTTTTATCTTTACAGCAATACCGTGTGTCTTGTACGTTTACATTAGCTGTCATATTACCGATACAATAACAATGGTGTGACTAACGTGTCCTAGTTGTGTTGTCTGACCTTCGTGTCATGATAAGGGGATATAAAATTGGCGGGATCAAAGAACGACGAACTTACAAAGGCTAAACACAAGAGATATCGTACGAGCATATCGATCTAACAGATACACAAAACTGTACATATGTACACTTCTTTATGTTGCTCCCGGGACCGCACCTCTTCGAATCGGACCCAACTTACGTTATTACTTTATTACATAAATTGCGTTAAAACTATAATACGCAATAAGTGTCAGAAC